TGCGTTCGCATTTGATAAAAATTCTTGAAACAAATGTAATTGAGCATTTCCCCTCAAGATCCACAATATCGTATTACTCAAAAAGTACTTCCATTAGCAGTAATAAAAGCAAGAGAAGCTGATGCATTTTGGTTATATAAGAAGCGTCAATGCGAGACAGAACAACATAAATCAAATAAATTAAGAAAACATAATATTTATGCTACTTCAAAGGAATTAAATAAAGTACAATTTATACTTCAAAGCGATACAAAGGAAATACTATCACAAAGCGCTTCAAAGGAGTTAACGCAAAGCACTTTAAAAGACATTATAGAAGTATTAGACAATAATATTCAAACTGAACAAAACAATGAAAATAAATATTCTAAAAATAAAGATCAACATGTATATCAACAAAAAAATTTAGAAAATAATCGTGCTGACTGTGCTGAAAGACGTAGCCAGTACCAACAAAATGTACAAGATAATCGTGCTAAAAAACGTAATCGATATAAACAGAATTTAGAAAATAATCGCGCGAAAAAAAGAGAGCAATATAAAAGAAATATAGAAAATAATCGCGCGCAACAAATGGAGCGATATAAAAAGGATATAGAAAATAATCGCGCTAAACAGGTGGAGCGATATAAAAGGGATATAGAAAATAATCGCGCTAAAAAGGTGGAGCGATATAAAAGGAATATAGAAAATAATCGCGCTAAAAAGATGGAGCAATATAAAACGGATATAGAAAATAATCGCGCTAAACAAGTGAAGCGATATAAAAAAGATATTGAAAATAATCGCGCTAAAAAACGAATGCGTTACTTAACAAATTATCAGCACGAGCAAGATAGACAAAAACAAGTGGATTGTGATCGTAAGTGGTTGTACAATAAACGATATTACGAGAAAAAAAAGTTAAAATCCAGTCTTGTTAAAAAAAATTGTGCTAGCAAAAATATTATTAAAAAATATGAAAAGTTTTGGTCACGAAATTATATAAAATTTCGTTACCCTGTTGCAATTGAAGATATTTTTAACAAACTTCAGATTAAAAACCATGTCGAAAAACGATTAGAAGCCGAAAGAATCGTACGTTGTTGTATGCAAATTCGAAACAATTATGTCCGTGATATATATAAAATTTTAGCTGTGCTTAAGAAGAAGTCAGAAGTATGCTTAACTCTTGCTACTAAATACGAAACAGTTGATGAAAAATTAAGTGCATTTTGTGGTAAATCGAAGCATACAGCTTCGTCTGAAAATTATTTTATCGATTTTACATATTGTAACATTTCTTCATCACGACCTTTAATAACGAATACGGAAGGTCGAATTACGAACGTATTACCTGTGATGAATCAAGGACGAGCTAAAAAATCATGGTTATGCGACGATGCTTTGTGTAAAATAAATCCATTTTTAATTGAGCGTTATGAAAAATTCCTTGAAGTGATAAGTACATGTACTTTCAAGAAAATACCAGATTTGTTACAAAAAATCCATACATGTACGGTAAAAGATAAATCAAATATAAAGTTAGGTCATACGCATTCTTGTTACAATGGTACAATTCCTTGCAAAGCAATGTTCCTTTCTACTCTATTATTATCACCTCATTTTCCAAAGGTGAGACGTATTAAACGTTTCATTTATCAAATGACAAATTTCTATCACAAGATGTTAGATCTAGAAAAGGCTTTAACTTCTGCAGATTTAGATACGTTAAATGAAATTATAACTTTAGCACAAGAAAAAGCAAACCAGATGTACAGACATAAACAGATTGATGATACTATTTTGAGCGATGAGGATATCTTTTCTAAATATAAACAAGCATTTAAAGCTTTAACTAAACGTTCTATGGATACACCTCGATATATTTGTGTATCATGTGAGAGATTTTGTTATAAAAGAAATGTATCTCAACTTCATGAGCTTCAAATACAAGCAGATAGACCAATTTGGAGAGATTTAATGGCGCATATAAAAAAACATAATATTAATCCTGAATATATATGTGATTATTGTAAACTAAAATTTCACGATGGAGTTTTGCCTGCGTATTGTGTTTTAAATAATCTCTTTGTACATGATGTACCCGAAGTAATTGCATCTCTTAACGATTTCGAAAAAATTCTTATACAAAGGGCTAAAGCATTTCAAACTGTTGTGAAAATGGGAACTGTTTGTAAAAAAAATTTGTCTCACAGACAAATGATACAAAAAGTAAAGGGTAGAACATTTCATTTGCCGCTTCCTTTACAAGAAACGCAAATTATGTAAGAACACTGCTCCAATAAATCTAAATCATGAAATGTACATTTTAGTTAGAGGTGTTTCAACAACTTTATGTAATTTAATTATTATTGAGAGGGTTATATATAAGTTAATATATTCCATTTTGTTCAATTTTACAGATTAATAAAGAATATATTGTAAGATGTGATGATTACAAATTCTTGAGTCACGTTGCCGTACGTTATCACGTTGATCCACGTGTAGGAACGGAAAAGACGCAAAGAATAGACGTAATGAATCGTATAGTGTCAGGACGAGCGAATAACAGAGGGAAGATGGTAGTTGGGTCAGGAGAAGGATGTAACACGAACTTAGCCAAAAACTCAGTATCTTTACTATCACGGATTATACACGTTAGTACGCGGGAAGAATCAGACACGAGAACCGTACGCTTACATGGCGGAAAGACCAATATATGAGAGCGCACGCTACGCAACTACTTTCTTCTTCTTCCTCGATCTCAGCCAATCACAGGCAAGGAGTTGATGTGCGCGCATGAATGCGGCGGAGGGATATTTCGCATTCCCTCGCTCTAACTTTACAATATTTAGTGTTTTTTTAACCTAAATATTGGCTCGTTTATTGGTCTTTATTTCTTTTAAATTCTTATACATACGAGCGATTTTCTTATAATTTTTTCTTATAACTCTTATTATGAATATATACTTTACTTTTATACGAATGTGAATAAATGTAAAGTAAAAAAAAACCTTAAAGATATTTTATTTTTTCAAATAATAACACATATTCAATGTATGACAAAAATATTATGTAAATAAATACTTATAATTTTCTAATATATGTAAAATTGTAAAAGTATGTTTATTTCACCTGAAAAGTCTTTCTTATGTTCGTATTTTTTAATTTCCATTTCATTAGTTAATTTATATTTAATTATATTCTAAATTTCGTACTATTAAATTTCTATTTGTATTAATATTTTAATACAAATAAAACGCTGAAACTGAACTAAAGTCAAAATGTTCATTGTACTCAATTATTTGAAATTAAAATACATTTTTAATTTAGAAAAACATCTCATTATTCATCATTCATTTTCTCATTTTTTGCATATTATAAACTTGATTTTATCTATTAAATTTAAAAAATCAAAATTACTTCACTTTTAAAATACATATAAAATATGTACAGTCGTGGACACATCGGTTGCGACACTTTTTTTTTAGTGAGTTTCGGAATGTTATTAATTTTTATATTAATAAAAATTAATAACATAAAATAAATATATCAATTTAATATATTATAACATATTAGATTGATGTTATTGATACAAAAATTAATAAATCGAATATTTATTTGATTTATTAATGTATTTATATTAATTTAATACATTTAATGTCAGATTTATATACAACATTTGACATAAAAAATAAAAATGTTTTAATATTAAGATAAGAAATTTATTTCCTTTAGCAAAATTTAGCCAGAAAGGGGACTTGGTTTACAAAAATACTTAACCATTCACTCATCCATACCGTACATACATTTCTAACCTATTCCTTATTTCTATTTCTTATGCCTATTCTTGATATCCTACCTTATACATATATTTACCTTCCCATATTACATAAATCTTGCACTTAACATCTCTGCATATAATACATACCATACAATACAATAAAAACGGCTTTCCTTTGTACTCTATGGTCTACTTTACATTTCTACATTT